AATCTACGAGCACAAGTCGAGACAGAAGGCTGAGAGATTTGTTTCCAATCACAAGCTCGAGAGAACCATGTAAACAAAAAGCAAGGCATTACCATGCAAATATTAAGGCGATTAAGCAAATGTCGGAAAAAAAATATTTCCAAAACCATGGAAAAAACTGAATTTGGCCTGGCAATGCGAAAATTTGAAAAAAATCCCATACAGAAATTTGATACACGTAGGATTTATTCCGCACTGTTTTTGTAGACTGCTTGTAAGAGGCGTTTATTATTTTGCGGTGTTTTAGGGTAACCAGTGTACTAGATATTTCCTTAACATTATGGCATCATTCGCGCAAACTCGCCAATTGGGCCCTGAAAACAACTTGACATCTCTTAAATGTCGTTCGGTCGACTTTCACCCTTATAACACAAGGTTTGATGAAAGTAATATAACGGATATTATCCATTTATGAAGGACACCACAGACCGATGATACACGCAAAAACATGCCTAAAAGGTTAGCTATTCACTCTAACTGCATTGCACTACTTTGAGTTTCTATTTTTCTTAGCTGAAATAGTCGTCTTTGGAAAGTGAGGACTACAGTATCTCCTACGCACACATATAAAACAACTTAAGCGCAATTAAAAGTCCTTTTCTCTCGAGGTAATAGTGAAAGTAAGACAACTTACAATTAAAAAGACATTCCATGTGAACATAACCCATACCTCCGCCTAAGCTCTATTTATTCTACCCCTCAAAAAATGATCTGAACGGTGCCAGCTGAAGCACATGAACTGCGTTCGAAGGATACGGCCCTCACCAAACAGTTTCGAAATACCCCCGAATATTTCACTAAAAGGTGACCTCTTTGGCTCACAAAGCTTTGTAGCACTAGTCCGAGGTCACAACTAGTTCTTCCCCCCAGCCGTGACCTTTATATTGATTCTTTGACCCGAAAAGAGACGAAGACAAAACCAAATTCACTTACCGGACGTGTCAGCCATTCTTGAATAAATTACTCATGCCCGCCTCCGCAACTCCTAGAACACAGGTCTCTTCGTGCGCGTGCCACGAAATTACTATATCCATAAATTTGGGGCCAATTAAGAAATAACGATAATCGTAATTTCGGTCTCGAGATCATGCTGTAATTGCTTCGGGTAAATTTCCATTTTCCTTTGTCCGCCATCTTTAACCGCGCACAATGTATCCTGGAACAAAGCGGAAATGAATTGAGCTACAACCGGAAGTTGGAAATCACTTGTCTTTGTGATACGTGCTAGCTGCGTATCAAACAAACAGACCTTAGAGCCTTCTTAAACACGCTTAGAAAATTCTGCCAAAACCAAAATGTAGGAAACTTAAGGACGAAAAAAATTATGAATGGTTTATTTTTTTAAGTTTTGTCAGTTGTCAATTGGCTGCCAAATTTAGTCTCTTCACAGCAGGATTCTGCCTGTACTGAAGCAAAACCGGAAAAAAAATTGAAACAAGGTTTTGGCAGATGGAAAACCTTTTCTAAAGGCATGGTCCATAGAATAATTGCCACGATTGCAGTAAACTTGGCGTGAAATGCTTGTGTGGCAAAAGACTTTTCAACCTGACTTCGTTTGCCCGGTTGTTAAATTTATGAACGACTCGTCACAATATCGCGACATTGATATCTGTTGTCATGGCTAGAAATTGAAGACATCATGGCGGCTAAGCATGCGCATAACAGACAAAATACGGAGTTTAAATATGGCGGCTGCATAAGGCTTTCTGTGGGAAAATTTTGAAAAATCAGACTCAGTAATTTTCTGGAAGCGTGTACTAAAAATGCCCTCGTCTGAAATATATTAGAAGAGTGACTAGATCACTCACCTCCGTTCTCAAACTCTTACGATTTCGCTACGATCTGCCCCAGTCGAAGAAACTTTAAACCTTTTGGTGCCCTAAGTGTCTTAAAATGGCTTATGTTGGTCAGCTTAAGCTTCTCCTGCAGCCACAACAAGGGTTGTTTTATCAATTGCCCAAGTCTGTTCGATCTCTTCGAAAGCCGACCTTCTAATTGAAGGCTATTTAAAGTCATAAAAGTGTGAATCCACGCTGCCAAACGACTTCCAAAAGTCCAAAAAATTTTTTTCTTATCGGTCTTGTTCCCAGTAGAGACTTTGACTCAAAAACTAAAATTATAAGATCTGAAAACATATCAAAGAACTCTTCGATCGCCATTTTGTAAAAACAGAGTAACCTAGCCTGTTATGGACAATACCGCTACAGGGTAGCTACTGAAGGCTCAAAGATTGACATAGATTGCAGCATTGGCGCGAAAATAATTTGACTTGAAAAACAAAATAGTAAGCTTCTTACTTGGACAAGATTTTAACAGCTTCTCAAGCAATATCTCGGAAAGAAAATAATAAAGAAGTTATCAGCGCTGCAAAATGTCTGATACACCTCCATTTGATTCATTTTTAAAATGGAAGTTGGGGATTGAAAGTGACAAGGAATATATCATCTTAGCTGTGGACAAACCCTACCCTTTGCTGAAATTGTGGCATGATTTTAACAAGACACAGAAAAATGATAGAAATCACACCTATGGCAATGGCTTTGTAAAAGGTAATTTCCGACATCTTTTGATGTTTGATTTTAGTGGGATGCGCAGACGCAGTAAGGTGAAACGCAACTCGTGTTGCGTCCGCGACATCAGCCGCTGACTGACCTCGATTTCTAGCCATGTTTAAGCCTGTCTCAGTATTGGCCATCTGGGGCAAACTCCGACCTTTTCTTCTATTTCTGGAAATAACGCATCCTTGCTGCAAGCATCTTTGCAACGATCTCAATCATTTTCAATCTATTATCTTTGTACTTAATTCGGCTTCTCGGAGCCATTGTCTTTATACCATACACGTTGTATTCGCAAAAAAAACCGACATTTGAAAACAACGACTTGAACGCTAGAGGCGACTTCAGTGTTAACCCGGCTACGTTTTATCATTCCTTAGGGATTTTAGTTCTAATAGCCCAATTAAATTTTTGTGCACAGCCTGTGAATCAAATCTATGAAGTAAAATATTGTATCCTTCCTCGTACTAGTTTATAAGAACGAGTTTGCTAGTACCTGTATGGCTTTACAGAATGATATTTTCCAGGCTCCAAAATAATCACTTTCCTAATTAACCTTTCCCTTAAATCTAATGGCTTGCTCGCCCTGACAGCCCAGCCTCATGAACTAGTCCGCAACAGGTGTGAGAAGCAAATGAATGACAGAAATAAGCGACCCTGTTCCCTTATACACCTTTCTCAATGCCGTTCGCTTAGTTTAAATGTGGCATTTAAAACATTTTGTATATACTACACATTTTTCTATTTAGCCAGGGTACCTGCATAATTATTTCATAATGGTGTTCACAAGAAAATGGTTGGGTTGAAATATATCATAATGTTTTGCCAGCAGGTAACTGCATTAATGAAAAAATGCTTAAAAAAGTGTGCAATCAATGTATATCCTAAGTTGTTGCATCAAGTTGGCCAATTTTAACAAATACTCAAGCCTTTTAAAACCTCTTATGTTAAAATTTTGTCAGAGTGAACCAGTGAAAGTCTTAGTTGATAGTCAAATGAATACTTTTTCAGATCAATAAAATGTATTGTTGTTTTTCATGGTAACCGTGATGTTGCCACAACTCCAGTTTCCAGGACAGAATTTCATAGAGGCTACCATAGCAGAATCTCTTTCATGGGTCAATAACAACATCGAATCAACTTTAAAACTAAATATAAAACTTGATTGATCTTTGGATTAGTTTCTATTATGCACAAAGATATTCTAGCTCTAGCCTGTCTTCATTGAAATCTACCAGATGGTAGACAAATTTAGAATTTCAGTGGCTAGAGTTGCCAGGATAGAGGATAGTTGGTTTCAAGACATGTACATTGATATGCAATTACAGCATCGGTCTTTCCAGCCAGAGCAGTTGAAAGAAGAAAATTTAAACATCGACTCGAGTTGAAATGTGACTTTTCTTTCTAATTTTCTACGCTTATCAGAGGAGTTTGACAGTTTAGAGAAAACCCTTTGAAGTAAACAGTCATAAATGGCGCATCAGGAGAAGGTATAAGAGATGTGAAGTACGATTCTGGCACATTGTTTCAGTGACTTCTGATCCCGCGTGTAAACCCTTTGATGGACCGGTGATATCTAGATCTTAACTCGAAGTCGTTTAACGTCGTTTCATTCTGTCTAAACCAAAATTAACAAACACGGGCAATAAAATATCATTTCAACCGATACAGACATCTACGGAAGAAAACATTCTATACTCTTGACAATCCGTTCAAACAATACGGAACGTCAACGAAAGTCTTCAGCTGCTTGAAAATACCGCTGACTAGCACGCATGTTGACATGTTGATCACTTTGCAAGTTGTGAGAATATCTTCCTTCCGTTCCACATCTCGTTAACTCTTCGAGAGCCAGTGCATAGGAATTTTTAGAAGTTGAAGGGCTGGAAAATAAACTCACTGGAACTCCGCTTTAAGGGTTGGCATTATAAGAGAAACTCAAATAGTGTCTAGCATCTAAATTTTCCTTACAGCGTCAACCTAAATCAAAAATTAAGAACACGAGAATATAGTAACTGATCACTAACTTAAGAAGCTCTTAACTGTTAAACCAATTCTCTTTGTCTGTTCCTTTGGAAATATACAGAGAATAATAAGGAGAAAATGTATTCTAATTTCAAACGACTCAAAATCCGCGCCAAAGCGTAGCGCATGCGCAGACGTTATTCAATTCTGTCGTTCTGGACGTCTGAGTGAATTCCAACCTTAGTATTCTTTAGCTAGCGGTTCTCGAGTGCAAAAATACGGGTACATATGTTTTTTTTAAGAGATAATCTTTCCCCTATCTTGAATCGCAAGGAAAAGGAACGACTTACTAAGCGCGAATGCTCGACACAGACGCTCTTTGGAGTACTCACAAAGATATTTGACGTAATACAGAAACGACTCAGTCTCTATCGTATATGACTAAGGAGAGTCATTTCCTACAATCTCATCGCAACAATACTGCTCTGCTAGACGTTTACATTCCACCAATTTGTGACACAAGGTATCGTACAAAACTTTGTAAGTAGCTTCGCAGCCTCCTTTTTGTTTCCAAGCCATTAACATTTTATAAGCCTTCTCTGCCAGCTCCTTATTGGCTTGATCAAAGTCATCTATTGCAGCTTCATTGAATCCCAGGCGTCTTCCTAATGTCTTCCATTTTCCTGCAAGTTCGCTGGACAGGCATTCCAACTCCTCATCTGATGGTTCACCATCTTTAACCAAATAGATACCTGAGGATAACAACGGAAGGAGAATAAAAAACTAGAAAAGGGATGCTTCAAGGCTTTGGCGAATAGCGAACAGTTGTGGCGAAAGGCGACTTCTCACCTTTTGGTATCATTCAATACCGAATCGTCTGCCCTAAAGATTGTCAAGCTTGAGCGAGGATACATTTGCAGCGTTTTTTTTTCCCAACCCATACATAAAAAAAATAAAAACGCTTAGGAAGTTTTCCAGACTCTTTATCTATTTCTGACCTCTTATTTCGCGTATGGCCCGACAAGCATCTTGAAAATGGAGGTCATTAACGTCTCTTAGCTATAGTCTCCAGCCGTTAATGCTGGAATAGGTTAATGTTGTTCAAGATACACGTGTTGGATTAATGATAGATTCCACTTTTAATTCATTATTTTTTATTCTCTTATATAAGTGGGTAAAGAGGATGTCTAAGAAATATAATGCCAGTCTTTCTGCATAAACAAATTTTACCATACATAAACGCGTGACAACAACATGCAAACTTGAAAAAAATACAATTAAAAAGGAAAATCCATCGCGACATTTTCAATCTCGGTACTACCTGTAGATTGGTGAATCTTCTTCCTAGGAGCTGCAACAGGGCTGCATGACGATGATTCTGAATTTGGATGCTTTACAATTGAATGTTCCACACTTTGGGAGGTGATACCCGCAGAATTTTTTCGTCATCACTAAATTTTGACAAATTTTGGCCTAAGCCGACAAATCGTAAAACACATCGCCGACAAATTTGTCTCAAGTAAAATCTGGACAAAATTAATTAAATAAGCAAGACCGTGATAAACTTGTCGATTAATTATCGCAAAAGCTACGAACAGCGTGTAGCTGAACTGAAATCAGTTTACTACAGAGGCAAAAATTCTCTTTTGTCGCAAAACTCTGGGATTCTAAAATTTTAAAATGGCTTTGAAAAATCCTAGAAATTGGAGGTGGAATCCTTTGGCAGACTAGGTCGAGCGGTAAGAGAATTTTTCAACTTTGAAATTTATAATGTAGATGTAACACTCAAGCAAACTTTTATCCTTTGATTTTGCCAGGACAATTTTTAGGCTGGAGTCATGAAAATCGCGAAAACTCGGATATGCATTGATTAAGAGTATAAGATAAGATTACCGTATGACTCTCCTTCTCCAGGCTTGTCCCCCACTTCTTTTGCAATTTGTAGATGACGCTCACGGTACTCGATTGCCTTACGAAAGTTGCCTAAGCTATGAAAGGCATTACCAAGACTTCCATAAGCCCGTCTCTCTCCAGCTTTATCCCCCACTTCTTTTGCTTTTTGTAGATGACGCTCGTGGTAACTGATAGCCTTATGAAAATCGCCTAACATCTGATAGGCATTGCCAAGATTTCCATAAGCCCGTCCTTCTCCAGCTTTGTCTCCCACTTCTTTTGCAATTTGTAGACGACGCTCGTGGTAACTGATAGCCTTATGAAAATCGCCTAACATCCGATAGGCATTGCCAAGATTTCCATAAGCCCGTCCTTCCCCAGCTTTGTCTCCCACTTCTTTTGCAATTTGTAGACGACGCTCGTGGTAACTGATAGCCTTATGAAAATCGCCTAACTGCCGATAGGCATTGCCAAGATTTCCATAAGCCCGTCCTTCTCCAGCTTTGTCTCCCAATTTGTAGACGACGCTCGTGGTAACTGATAGCCTTTGAAAATTTTGCATTTTTGTAGATCACGCTCGTTTGGTAATGACGCTCGTGGTAATAGCCTTATGAAAATCGCCTAACTGCCGATAGGCATTGCCAAGATTTCCATAAGCCCCTCCTTCTCCAGCTTTGTCTCCCACTTCTTTTTGCAATTTGTAGACGACGCTCGTGGTAACCGATAGCCTTATGAAAATCGCCTAAGCTATGATAGGCATTGCCAAGATTTCCATAAGCCCCTCCTTCTCCAGCTTTGTCTCCCACTTCTTTTGCAATTTGTAGACGACGCTCGTGGTAACCGATAGCCTTATGAAAATCGCCTAAGCTATGATAGGCATTGCCAAGATTTCCATAAGCCCGTCCTTCTCCAGCTTTGTCTCCCACTTCTTTTTCAATTTGTAGATGACGCTCGTGGTAACTGATAGCCTTATGAAAATCGCCTAAGCTATGATAGGCATTGCCAAGATTTCCATAAGCCCGTCCTTCTCCAGCTTTGTCTCCCACTTCTTTTGCAATTTGTAGATGACACTCGTGGTAACTGATAGCCTTATGAAAATCGCCTAACTGCCGATAGGCATTGCCAAGATTTCCATAAGCCAGTCCTTCTCCAGCTTTGTCTCCCACTTCTTTTGCAATTTGTAGATGACGCTCGTGGTAACTGATAGCCTTATGAAAATCGCCTAAGCTATGATAGGCATTGCCAAGATTTCCATAAGCCCGTCCTTCTCCAGCTTTGTCTCCCACTTCTTTTGCAATTTGTAGATGACGCTCGTGGTAACTGATAGCCTTATGAAAATCGCTTAAGCTATCATAGGCATTGCCAAGATTTCCATAAGCCCCTCCTTCTCCAGCTTTGTCTCCCACTTCTTTTTGCAATTTGTAGATGACGCTCGTGGTAACTGATAGCCTTATGAAAATCGCCTAAGCTACGATAGGCATTGCCAAGATTTCCATAAGCCTGTCCTTCTCCAGCTTTGTCTCCCACTTCTTTTTGCAATTTGTAGATCACGCTCGTGGCACCTGATAGCCTTATGAAAATCGCCTAAGCTATGATAGGCATTGCCAAGATTTCCATAAGTCCCTCCTTCTCCAGCTTTGTCTCCCACTTCTTTTGCAATTTGTAGACGACGCTCGTGGTAACTGATAGCCTTATGAAAATCGCCTAAGCTATCATAGGCATTGCCAAGATTTCCATAAGCCTGTCCTTCTCCAGCTTTGTCTCCCACTTCTTTTGCAATTTGTAGACGACGCTCGTGGTAACTGATAGCCTTATGAAAATCGCCTAAGCTATGATAGGCATTGCCAAGATTTCCATAAGCCCGTCCTTCTCCAGCTTTGTCTCCCACTTCTTTTTTGCAATTTGTAGACGACGCTCGTGGTAACCGATAGCCTTATGAAAATCGCCTAAGCTATGATAGGCATTGCCAAGATTTCCATAAGCCCGTCCTTCTCCAGCTTTGTCTCCCCTTCTTTTTGCAATTTGTAGATCACGCTCGTGGTAACCGATAGCCTTATGAAAATCGCCTAAGCTATGATAGGCATTGCCAAGATTTCCATAAGCCCGTCCTTCTCCAGCTTTGTCTCCCACTTCTTTTGCAATTTGTAGATGACGCTCGTGGTAACTGATAGCCTTATGAAAATCGCCTAACTGCCGATAGGCATTGCCAAGATTTCCATAAGCCCGTCCTTCTGCAGCTTTGTCTCCCACTTCTTTTTGAAATTTGTAGATGACGCTCGTGGTAACTGATAGCCTTATGAAAATCGCCTAAGCTACGATAGGCATTGCCAAGATTTCCATAAGCCTGTCCTTCTCCAGCTTTGTCTCCCACTTCTTTTGCAATTTGTAGACGACTCTCGTGGCACCTGATAGCCTTATGAAAATCGCCTAAGCCATGATAGGCAAAAAAAAAAAAAGAAAAGAAAAAAACCAGCCTTTGGGTGATGCCTTATCATCGGCCGTTGAGCCTTCTACACAGGAGATTGATATTGAAGTGAAACAATTTATTAAAAAATCACCCGTCGCAGTTTGAGGATAAGTGTTAACAAATGTTTTGTTCCCCCCTCCTTCTGCATTCCAGGAAGCACCATAACCTAAACATAGCCACTGCTGGTAGAGAAGAGAAGGAGAAGGCAACAAGGTTCTTCTAGATGTTTTAGCATGCCTTTGGCAAAAGTGCTTCACATCACCGATGATTGGAAACAATTAAAAGTCCCATTTATTGAGCATGACATGCAGAAACTATAGTGGGAAGCCATTGCTTAGGTTCTGCTTTATGGTTACCAATGGGCCAATTACTGCCTAGTAAATTTTTTACATCTTTTTGTGGCCTTGTATCTTTATGGGTATGAAGTTATCACTTCAGAGACGTTGATATGAAGACTTAGTCAATTTGTAACTACAAAAGATAGAAAAGCATTGGACAAGTGCCTTGGCGATGATTTTAAACCTAATGATGAAGATGTCTTGGAATTTTTATATTATTCAAGTGTTTTAACCCTTTGCATCCTAACATCAGCATACTTTTTTTCCGTACTGTTCTCTATGCATATCCTATGGTGCTGACAAAGAGAATTTGTTTAACAACCAAGAGCCTCTTTAGTTCGTGATCATTTCCTTTATTCTCATGATCTTACTGTTTGTTTCAGAGGGGATACTGATAGGAGAAAATGGTCACTAATCACTCTTAGAGATCAACTGGTGGAGTCCAATTCTCAAGATATTATGCTCTAAGGAAAACTTTCAGTCCCTCGAGACTAAAGCAAGCCGCCAAATTAATTAACAAGTTATTCAGAAGTAGAACTTAAATCCTTTGAACAACTGAAACGGTTTATAGAGTCACTGAATTGCAAATCTTTATCCATGTTTCTCGGGATCTGCATTGGTAGTGATATGATCACTGTACACAACATTGATGTGCACGTTGCTATCCTTGAAGGTGGCATTGACGTCCTATTGCCAGAACATGTAGAGCATTGCTAGAACTTCCATCTACATATGAATCATACCCAGAACTGGTTGAGGAGTTTACTAATGTAACGAAAGAGGAGCAAGCCTGTTTTGTAACATTGTTCCGTATGGAAGATGTGAACAATGTGAAATGAACACTCAGAATGCTTTGAAAGGAACACTTTGAAATGAACTCTTTGAACACTTTGAAATTTTCTTCTTAGTTTTTAACATTTTTATGTTCTGCATAACATTTTCACATTACTGGTATAAGGATTTTTTTTAAACACAGAATACAAGTTACTGTTGATGGCATTTCCTGAACTTTCCAAAAATAAAAAATAGAATTAGGTCACAAATTTGTATCTATTCAAATGTCATTACAGTTGTCACTAGCAGTTAGTTTGGTTACAAGTTAGAAAGCCTTTCGGGAGTGATGTAAAATATGCAAGTTTCAAGACTACAAACTTTAAATAAAAATTTTATCAGCTGATCTCTAATATCACTAACATCAATAAATCATAAGTTTATTTTAAGTAGTAAGTGTAAATGGTCATTACATAACAAGATATTAAATTGTCAGCCCCTTGGAATGGGACAATTTGGGGTAGGTGACATGTTGCTTTTGCTACCATTATGTGCCTTCTAAGAGATTAATACCTGAATTTTAAATTGCACTAAAAACTATGTTGATTTTAGTGGACTACCGCTAAATAAATGCATCTGCAAATGTGAAAATGGTTCGATAATAATTCAGTGAAAATAACAGCATTCTATCAAGATTTAAGCCATCAAAATTCAGGAAACATACTTGAAGTTATCATAAAGAGGTCAGCTATACCAGTGACAGCCGTTTAAAAATGTCATTACTTTCATTTTCAACCTCCAGAAAAGTCGTGAAGGATGAAAATTTTCATCCTTTATTAGTGTTCGCAGCAATTTTGTAACTATTGAAAAAAAATTATTACCATTTCATTATACAAGCTTCGAACGCAACAGCATAACTTCAGTCTTATTCACTGGTTGATCTTCACAATGTTTTATGTTGTAATTAACACAGCGTCTGCATTAAACTTTCCTATGTGAGGGAGGGATAACAATGATCATGTACAAGTACTTCCATTATCATCAAAGGAAATATCAAAATAATTTTGATTAGACGCTGATAAATGTTAAATTCAATATTGAAACTTTCAATGATCGTTACAGTGTTCAGAAAGTGCTTAATTCCATTGTTTCCATTCTCAGAGAGAGGGTCAGTCCTATTGTGTTATTACTGTAAGCTGACTGTGTGACTCTGGCACAATAAACATTGTTTTCTGTTTCAATATCAGTCATTATCAAAGTCAACCATCATAATCAATTCCAAATGTCTGCCAATTTGTGCATTAGCCCCACATTTTAGACTGCCTGTAACATGAAAGTGCAGCGCTTGTTATCTGACAGCTTGCTATTTTTAAAAGAACCCATTTTAGCAAGTTATCCATTTCTAGGTTTGCAACATTAGACAAGCCGTTCTTGTATAGTAAACCTAGAAAACATAGTAAGCGGTCAGATAACAGGCGATGCACTGTGGAAGTAAAGTGAGGTATTTTTATTGAGAATTTGACTGTATTTTTTTTATTCCCAACAGCGGTCGTAAATATTCCCATATAAACTCTTATAATTTCGCCATGGCTGCTATTTCGCAAGATGATCAACTCACAGCTGGAGCTTGGGCTGCCTGTGATTGGAGATTTCAAGGCATGTTCCTATACTTATCCAGTTTAAACTAGTCTCACGCAGTTGCTCGATCATTTCCTTTGTAATAGTGTACGCCGGTCTCCCTCCTGAACTTGCAGAGAATGCCAATGGAATTTTTTCCTTTAGACAAAGGCATGATACATTTAAAATATCTGACGTCTTTCTTAATAAGACGACTAAAGACAATTCTAACAGCTCAAACAGGTTTGAAGAGGAATTTTGAGACAGTGATATGGCGATAAGCATTGTTGTGTATTCCTAAAGCTTCCTGGCACAGATTTCTAATCCTACATGAACAATGCGTGATAAACGAAAGTCCCTTTCAATGGTGCTCTTTAGAGAATCAACAAGCTTTGTAAAGTATTCTGCACTAAGTTACTCCGCCATTTTGAGAGAAATATTCCGCTTACTAGCTGTTGTTCACCGGCTCAGAAAAAGTAATCGATAATCTCGCATAGTGATTTCTTTTTCTCACGCAACAATTTCTCATTCTCAACAGTTAATATTTAATTCTCAGTATATTGCTACATCAGTCTTTTTCTCGATTAAGGTTTTATCATTCTCGATGGGTAATTTAAATTATTTTTTTTTTAGAGGGCACGGTAACGAATCTTGCAATTTTGATTGGTTCCTTACCCGGTCAGTATTTTCCTATCTCTGCCCACGGGCCACGGTAACGCTTTCGTGAGTCGCTAAGTACATCCCAACCTTCGTTGCCATTTTTCATAAACGTATCTCGTTTTTCACGGACCTCCCAGCCGGCAAATAACATATATATATATATCGCATGACAGTTCTTCATTCTCATACAGTGATTTCCATTTCTGATGTAGTGGTGATGTAGGTTAATTTCAAATTGTTTTTAAGACATAGTCTGGTAACTAATTATTAGTACCAAGCTGAGGCTAAGGGGCGCTTATTTTGAAAGCAAGATCGGAGTGACTGTAAGTCGAATATGAAGTTTTGTGCCATTTCTGTGTGCAAAGGCGTACTAGACTCAGGTATCGTTTCTTCAGCCTCTTGCTCCTGTTGACTATCCGCTGCCCGAGTTTCTACTAGATCCAACAATGCGCTCTACCCAGTCACTGTCAGACTCTGAATTTCAGTCAGAGGCTGGCTGAAAGTTGTTCTGACTGTCCTCCACAATAGAAGTCAAAATCTTACTGCCAATATGTGCCTCACCACCCTAACTCTCTCATCTTTCTTTCCTCTAAATGCAATAAAGTTCAAGTTTACCTACTCTAAGGGATGGCGACTGGTTTCTGTGATAGAGATCTTCCTAGTCAATGTCATTGT